AAAAAAAAAAAAAGATTAGAGAGGCTGTGTAGGGCTAAGCATTGCTTATCTGAGGATAAGAGGTCAAAGCCAGTATCTGCCTGGATACTATGGCTAAGAGAACACAAAGAAATAAATAAGGACTCTTCAACATTACCAGAATAGAAGGCAGTGAGTAAACTCCTCAAGTTATAAAGTGCATTCCATTCAATTTTTCCATGCTTTTAAGGAAAATGCAAATACAAAATACTTGTTAAATCTTTCAGAAAGTAGCAGATGAAAGGTTCAAAATCTCCTAGCTCAGGATTAGTAGCCCAAACAAGAAGGAATCCATGATGGATAAACAGTGTCACTGGAACAAGGAGAGGTGGAATGGGCTTCAGAATCAGCAGATCCCAACCCAAGACCCACTGGAGTTTTCCTTACTCTACTGCAGGAACAGGTCAAACTTCCTAATTCCAAAAGGACTGAAGTCCAATAGTAGTACTGTAAAATGTTTTGATGGACACAGATGAAGGGAGAACATAAGACACACATGAAGGGACAAAGTAAACACAGATAAAGTAGCAAACTAAACAATCTTAAATGCCATCAAAAATCACCTACACATTTGTTACCTAGCATTAATAGAGATGTCCTCTTTGTCAACAGAATAATTTCTAATAAGCTGTGTAAGTCTTACCTTGATCAAATAACTGAGATCAGTAATTGTTTTGAATCCACGCACTGCAAAGCATATTATAAAACAGAAACGTGGATGATGGATTATAAAACCCACAGGAGACTTCTAGCTCTTTTCCCAGTGATGGCAGAAATTCTGCTGGAAAGCTGACAGGTAAGTACGCAGACGACACCACTCCTTAGGTCTACCTGTGCTGACCTGGGTTATCCTTTCCCCAGTTACTTTACCTTCTCTTGTTCAGCATGCAATACTCTTGCCTGTGTGTTTTCTGTGGCTGTTTGAAGTGAGTTGTTCCTCTTCTCCATCATCAGGTTACTCTGTTCAACATACCTGTCAAAGAAATAGAGAACAAGAAAATATATATCAAGCACAGAATCCAGGCCAGGTATGACCCACTGCCCATTCAGACCTCACAATATTGTTCTCTGCCTTCATTAACAGCAATCTGAAAGCAATGCTGTCCTTAGATCTGCAGCAATCAACTTTGGAGGCAGGAACTTGAATCAGAGGAGAGTACTCTGAAGGGTGTAGGGTAACAAGAAATGAGAGAGGAAAGAGCCAGGAGTAAGAAAGCTGTAAGGAGGATAGAGGAAGCCACTCCCTCAACCTTGCCATGTGGGAGATGAGACACAGGAGAAGAGAAATATGGGAGAATGATTTTTTTTTCTTTTAGAGACAAGAGTCTCACTTTATCACCCTCAGTAGAGTGCTGTAGCATTACAGCTCACAGCAACCTCCAGCTCCTGGGTTTAGGCAATTCTCTTGCCTCAGCCTCCTGAGAAGCTGGGACTACAGGAGCCTGCCACAACACCTGCCTATTTTTTTGTTGCAGTTTGGCCGGGGCCAGGTTTGAAACTGTCACCCTCGGTATATGGGGCCAACGCCCTACTCACTGAGCCACAGACACCGCCCAGGAGAATGATTTTTTTTTAAAGTAACATGCTGTCTTGTGACAAGTTCCACTGAATTACCCAAATTTTCAGAAGAATCACCAAAAATTACAAAATGCTTGGGTTTTATAGGGAATCAGTGAGGTTCTGGTTATATTCGGGTTGTTAAAATAGCCCACACAGAAAAAAAAGGAGTTGACACCAGAATTTTTGTAGTGTTAATACCAGTTTTACAGAAAAGGAAACTAGGGCCAGCAGGAATAAATAAAATGCCCAAAGCCATGCAATAAATACAGGGCAGAGCAGGAGCCCAACACAGGTCTCACTCACATCATAGCCTACTGAGCTCTTCCTATCAAAATACCTCTCAGAAGGCAGGCAATTCATATGACAGGTAGGAAACACAAATAGCAGAAATACATGAGTACTGGACATTTCCATAGTAAACCCTCTATTTATCCCACCCAGGCCCCATACCTGTCATTACCTCTGATTTCTTTCAATTAATTCACTAATCTTGTCATTCTGCTCTTCTATCCGATTGCCCTTTTCGAGGATCTCTTGCTTCAATCTTTCATTTTCCTAAAGTTAAAACATATGATGCCTTTTTAAAGTCTTAAAAGTACAGATAAAAGGGAATAAACTTGAACTGACAGGTAACATTGTTAGCACATTTTGAGACAAAAACTAGAACTTGTGTCCCACATGGATACACTAACTAAAATAACACATCAAATTATACTTTATGGATACAAATAACTAGGACAAATGGACTAAGTATATAAATGGCTATAAAATGAACTGAAATTCTTAAGTATGGTCAAAAAGCAATGGTTCCTTGTGACTATATAATGGTAAGTCACTTGAACCAAATCAAGCCATAATAAATTTTCCAGAATTTTTTAACCCAGTATAGCATTTATCACATGCTATTTCTGGGGTGGAGGTGTTGAGGGTAGTATATCTGGGGCAGAGCAAGGGCAAGCCTTCAGGCTGAGTGCTGAGTCCTCGACCACCCTCACCTGAATGATTCGCTGGATGTTGCTCATAATCAAGCTCGTTTCCATTGTGACTGACATGCTAGGAATAAGCATGGAATTACTAGCACTATGTTTCTGTAATTCTTCAACCTACAAAAAGAATGTCAGAAAGACCTCGTGAGAAAGTTTAAAATGAAGAAATACAATCGACCCAAGATCTGATCACTTTTTTAAGGAGATTAATGTGTTACTGAAATAATCCCTAAATATACGGTAGAGTTTTTTCCTACTAACTGACCCCAAAATAATTATAGTTATTCTTCTAGGTAAATCACTACTAACTACTATGAATGCAAGAAACCAAAGAAGGGTTTGCCTATAGTTCTAGCTGCTCCCTGTTTATTTATATCCCCTGTTTATAACCCCATTTTCAACATGGCCCCAACCCTGATTCAGTCACCTTAGTCATGAGATGATCCATTTTATCAGCCACTTTGCTGACTGCCATTCGAATTTCAGTGTTATGTTGCCGGGCTTCAGTCATGAGAAATGAAGTCACCTCACCTGATCCTAAACAGACATAAGCCAAAAAGAAACTTATAAAAGTAGAGCAGAGGAAACTGTATGAGGAAAAGCCAATAGCTCGTCTTTCCTTTTAGGAGAGCAAAGAAGGAAATGAAGAGTTCCATAGACTAGGAAATTCTAGAAGAGATTTTACACTGTCAGGAAAAGATGCAGAGGAGACAGTAAAGGTAAAGGGCTCCAAAGCTAACAATAACTAAACTATGATCCTGCAAAATGATGGAGGGCTACACTCGATTTAAAGAGCACAAGGATGCCCACTTAGGTCTGCCAGTAGCAACTCAGATTGCTTCCTCATTAATCCAACTGCATGCCGTGCATTGTACCAGGTACTAGGGATATGACAATGAATAAAATGTGGTTCCTGCCCTTAGGGAGCTCTCAGTCTGGTAGAAAGACTGACATGTAACAAATCATTACAACAGAGTGTTAATTTAATTTAAGTGCAAAAGTGGACCATGTACTAGATAAAAAAGTAGCACAGAGAAAGCAAGATGGGTTCTTTGGCAACACACACACACACACACAGTTGTGTCTGCAGGAGGAGAGGACAGAGGGATGGGTAGCAGGGAATGCTTCACAAAGAAGATGACAGTCTTAATGGATAAAAATGTGTTTCCCAGATGGAGAAGGGGAAGCTTCCAGACATAGGCTATATCCAGGGATCCCTGACCATTCTAGAACCACTGAGTTATATGACATAACCAGCTTCTTCCTACTATAGTCCTAAACCAAAAGTGATCATTACACAAAAGACAAACAGCTGAATAGGGCAGGATACCATCACAGCAGCTTATATTTTATTTTGTCAATTTTTTTTACATAAAATACATGCACAATATCCAAAAAGTTACCCAGGTAACCATTAACAATGGGTTCCCATGGTCAGGGGATTAATGATGGTAAGGATAATAACTTTTCACTTTGTACTTTTTTTATTGTTTAACATTTTAATAAAAGCACACTTTCATAATTTAAAAATTTTAACAAAGTAGCTTGCATTTGAGATACTGAACACCATAGTCTTCATGCTTTCTCTCAGTTTCTTCTAAGGTTTGCTCTTTTACTATTTTCTATAAACTCTAGCCATTCTGACAGAAGAATTAGAAGAGTTGGTGGCAGAAAATGCCAAAAACAAAACCGAAAGTAGGTACTAGGGGACTGTAGGGGAGGATGTGGTAGGAAATGTTCTCAAACAGGATTGTAGCTATGGATGCACAATTCTGCCAAGTTCACTAGAATGTCTTTGAATTGCACACTTAAAATGAATGAATTATAGGGAATATCAACAAAGCACTTTAATTAAAGAGAAGAAACAATAGGTAGAGAGCAATTGGAGTAAAAGTGAAAATGAAATGGGAAAGAGAGTACAGAAAGAATAGAAGGTGAGAAAGAGAGGGAATCTCATCCTACCTTGAAAATGGGGGGGTTGGGAGAGTGCTGCTGGGTACAGGGGCCGAACAGGCTGCAGCTGGGAGTTGACAGCCGATCCCTGCGGGTAGGTGTAGGCTTGCATACCTGCATAGGGCTGAGAAAGTGCCACACTGGTTTATAAAATATTCAGGGTAGTCTTTTTGGCTTACAATTCCTTTCCACAGGGCTGCTATGTGGTCAAAGGAAGTGATATAAATTTCTTTTCTTTGGCAGTTTTTTGGGGGGAGCCGGGTTTTCTAATAGCTCATAAGTTATGTGCCTGGCAAATAATAGGATGGTTATTCTTCCTTGAAATAAGGTGATCTAACTCATTTCCAAAAACAGATAAAACTACCCATCCATTAAAAAAAAGTCTTAGTATACAGGAGAGTAATTCTCCATGGAAGGGAAGGGCAAGTAGAAAAGAGGGCAACAGCAGCACTTACTCTCACCCCTTCCTTAAGAATCACCAAGGGGCTGAGTGTGGTGGCTCATGCCTATGATTCTAGCACTTTGGGAGGCTGAGGTAGGAAGATTGCTTGAGCCCAGGAATTTGAGATCAGCCTGGGCAACATAGTGAGACCTCATCTCTACAAAAAAATTTACATATCTAGGTATGGTGGTGCATCCCTGTAGTCCCAGTTCCTCAGGAGGCTGAGGCAGAAGAATGGCTTGAGCCCACAAGTTCAAGGCTCCAGTGAGCTATGATGGCACCACTGTACTCTAGCCTGGGCAACAGAGTGAGACTCTGTCTAAAAAAAAAATCACCAGAGAAGTGAATCCCTGTTATTATTGACAGTGTGCTGAGGCAGGAGAAAGAGTTTACTACCCTGGAAAAAAGCCAGCAGAGGCAGACAGGCTACTGCCATTGCCTTCTGCAAAAACAGAAAAAAACTCTTCTTTAAAAAATCACTTTTGGAGGATAACTAAACAGCAGAATCCAGCTTTACTTTCCATACAGTTCCATCTCAATCCATAAACTGTCTGCTGAGTATAGTGCAGAATGTTAGCCTATCACCTTTTTTTTTTTTTTTGAAGAGACCAAGTGGTATCACAGCACACAGCAATCTCCAACTCCTGGGCTTAGGCGATTCTCTTGCCTCAGCCTCCCAAGTATCTGGGACTACAGGCGCCCGCCACAATGCCCAGCTATTTTTTGGTTGCACTTTGGCTGGGGCGGGCTTCAAACCCGCCACCCTCAGTATATGGGGCCAGCGCCCTACCCACTGAACCACAGGTGCCGCCCAGCCTATCACCTTTTGATAGCAAAGAATACAGAAGATATGAAGAGAGACCTCTCAACTGACACGTATGAAAAGAAAGGGAAGCCAACAGTGACTGGACCTTCGCTCTGGGCCAGGCGCAGGCTTTGTAACAGGTGCTTTGCTTATTCTTGCCTTTAATCTTTTCAGCAACTGTAACTCCTTTGCCTGAGTTAGAGATGAGGAAAATGGTGATTCAGGAAGGGAAAAAAAAAATCACAAACTCTGACTTCCGGGCACTGCTACTGTGTGAATCATGCAAGAAGAAAAGTGACTGACTAGAACCATAATAAATTACAGCATATAACTGATATGGTTTTTAAATTTTACCTGAAAGGACTGGGCATTTCCAGATATAGCTGAGTGGGAATCAAGAGATGCCACTTGCATTAAGGCAGCAGAGGGTGCTTGGAGCCCAGACACAGGTGGCTGAGGTGCTAAGATAAAGCAAGACATTTTCACTGTTATTCATCCCTGCTTCTTGGTGTGAGTCTGGGACAGCACCTTACATACCATCATGCTTCAGATTCCACCACTTTTTTTTTTTTTTTTTGAGACAAAGTCTCACTCTGGCACACTGAGTGCCATGTCATCATAGCTCATAGCAACCTCAAGCTCTTGGGCTCAAGTTATCCTCTTCCCTCAGTTTTCTACTTTTAGTAGAGATGGGGTCTCACTCTTGCTCAGGCTGGTCTCAAAAGCCTGAGATCAAGCAATCCACCCACCTTGGCCTCCCAAAGTGCTAGGATTATAGGCATGAGCCCCCATGCCCAGCCAGACTTCACCACTTTCCTCACCTAGTCTCCTAAAACTGGGATCTCAGCAATGGGCCCATTCAAGGAAACTGGGTGTTCTCATATGCTTCTGACTCAGCACTATGATCCCATCAGTTGACAGGAAGTATAGAAAAACACTCAGGGAGATGTCTCAATAGGTGAGTGCAGACTTCCAAAACTAACAATGCCACACAGCAGAAGTCACAACAAGCAGTCTAAATACATCTCCAGGTCTGAAAAAGCCCTACCCAGGGACAAACTGACAAGGTTTTTACATTCTAGTCCAGTCCTCAGTACTAAAACAATGTAGCCTACCTACAGGGATGATAATTTTGGTGTTGACCCAATTCAAGGCACAGAGCCTCAGAGAGGTTTCTTACCCTGTGAGGTCATCTGTGGCAACACTGGATGGGCTGGCTGAACAGAGGGCTGGATGGCCGGAGTCACCAGGGGCGGCCCAGCTCCTCTCACAGCATTCGCATCCTGAAATAGGCAGTAAGGTTTTGGTTACTATGTAAAGTCCTTTACTGGAGACTAAGGCTGTCTTCCCTAAACCTGCTTCCAAAACAGAGCTTCTAGGCAAAGAGGTAAGAAAGGCAAGCAAGAAAGCCAACAGTTTGGGGGTGTGGATACTATGGCATAGAGCAAGAGCCATTCTTCCTGTAAATCCTATCAAATAATTAAACATAGTTCATTTGTACAAATATTCTATATCGTTTTCTAAATACGATTTAGAAATCGTATTTTCTAAAACAGCTAAACTAACTGCTCTCTAGAATACATCATTTTCCAAACCAGATCTTCCTAAAAAATAAGAGTCTCTTGTAAGGAATAATCCAGCCTCTTCTCTTCTGCCAAATAAACCCCGTAGCCCTTCCAGGTACTCAATGAAAATCAGATAGAGTAGGACTCACTGCACCTCATTAACCTGGTGTTTTTGGATACAGAGTTTAGAATGTTCCTCCCCATTCTTTCTCTCCACAAAATCAAAGCTATACCTCTAAACCAAGTTATTCTAAATCTTCCAGCCTCATATAGAAAAAGAAAATCTTGAGACATAAGATATAGTAACTGTAATCTGCTATGCCATAGTTCAAGGGCTGAAATACCTTTGACATTCTTTTAATAATTTAGAACTTTCCCTTATAGTGTGATAGTCTCTTTTGGAAAAACATACCAGTTTTAGATCATTATAGCTCTAAACCAGCCTAAATGTCTAAACACAAAGTGAATTATTCTAAAACTGATACATGTATAAAGGAACACTGGGCTACCTTTAAACTAACAATGCTTTATTTGCTCACATTATTTATGTGAATGTAAATGTTTATGATATAGATTTAAATTTAAAAAATCAGGTAATAAAGTAATATAGTATAAAAAAGAATGCCATCTGTATGAAGTACATTACTTCTTTCTTTATCCACAATTTTAAATTATTCTACAATGCATAAGTAACATATATTTTTTATTGAGAATATTATCTTATTCAAATTTCATTTCCAAACTGGATAAAAATTAATTATGGAACTACTCCCATCTCTCAGGGTAAGTGCTAATCACAGTAGAAACACATGTACTGACACCAATTTGTATTATCTTACATATACACCCTCTAAATAATGATTCTAGGGTATAAGCAGAAAAAGTTATCATTTCAATCAAAAGAAAAAATAGCAACATTTGTACTATTCAATCTAATATAGCCAGGGAGACATACTTCAATTTCTGAGTCACTGGGTTCCAGCTGTGGTGGAAGGATTGGCAGCATGGGCTGGCCCATTTTAGCCATCCGAGAGATCAACTTCGCCTTGTCTGTATCAGGACTCTAAACAGAGAGGGAAGTCACAAAAGTCACTGCGAGCAAAGTTCATTACCTTCAGGCAGCTCTATCCTTTTGGTTCTTACATCAAATCTTTCAAGCCCCCCCCCCCACATCTATTTAAAACCATTTCCTCTAGAAAATGGGAATTAAAGATTTCAGAAGTATACCTAGATTATAATTAATGATAGTAGCAAAAATAATTTCCTACACATTTGGAACTGACAAAGTGGTTTCATAAGTATTACTTCCTTTCAATCAAGTCCACCAACCAGGCATAATTATTCCCATTTTACACATAAAAAACTGGAGGAGATAAGGTGGAGATATTAAAGAGGGAGGTATTTTAGATGATTGTAAAGATGATTCCTCCCCCAAGCCTAAAGCAATTCTGAAAACAGATATTCAGAAGAGGTCTGTGGGAAGAAGGAAACAGGAGCTCTTTGTTCAGGTTTATTTAATTCTAACTTGCCATTGACTACACAGTAGACTTTGTGCTAGAAGCTTCTGTATCCATTAACTAATCCAAAGTGTAGTTTCAGAATGGAGAGTACATACATCTGAAGATGCACAGATGACCTATTGGGTATATGGATAAATGACCATATCCTGCATTTTAATTATTTTTAAGCTACAAACATAGGACATTAAGTTTATTTACAGAATTGATACTGCTTTATTTTAAGACATACATTGGGAGTGCATGCTTGTTCTTTCTTAACTGATGGAAATACATAAGAAAAAAAAAGCTGGAAACATCAAGGTCTAGTTACATAAACCACATCCACATAAGGGAATATATTAATCTACTAACACACAAATGAGGCTTGGTGCCTGTAGCACAGTGATTATGGCACCGCTGGCGGGTTTGAGCCCAGCCCAGGTCAGCTAACCAACAATGACAATTGCAACAAAGGAAAACAAAAATAACCAGGCGTTGTGGCAGGCGCCTCTAGACCCAGTTACTTGGGGAACTGAGACAAGAGAATTGTTTAAACCCAAGAGTTGGAAGTTGCTGTGAGCTGTGACACCACAGTACTCTACTGAGGGCAATATAGTGACACGGTCTCAAAAAAAAAATAAGAATGAGGAAGCTCTCTGTATACTAACATGAAAAGATATTGTGTTTTGCATGTGTATAGTATTCTATGGACAAAGCAAATGCTATTTTGTATGTGTGAAAAGAGGGAGGAATAAAATATATATTCCTATTGGCATGCACCTATATAAAGAAACACTGAAAGAATCTGAAAGAATAAGAAACTAGGGCGGCGCCTGTGGCTCAGAGGAGTAGGGTGCCAGCTCCATATGCCGGAGATGGGGGGTTCAAACCCAGCCCCGGCCAAAAACCACAAAAAAAAAAAAAAAAAAAAAAGAAAGAAAGAAAGAAACTAAAAAAAAAGCAGTTAACTAAGGGTTGTGAGATGAAATAGGTGAGATGGAATAGGTAATATGGGGACAAGAATAGGAGTGAGTCCTCACATGCAGATCTTGTTATATTGTTTTTTGTTTTTTTGGGTTTGAGACAGAGCCTCAAGCTATTGCCCTGTGGCATCACAGCTCACAGCAACCTCCAACTCCTGGGCTTAAGTGATTCTCTTGCCTCAGCCTCCTGAGTAGCTGGGACTACAGGTGCCCGCCACAACCCCCAGCTATTTTTTGGTTGCAGTTTTCATTTTTTGGCAGGTCCAGGCCTGATTCGAACCCGCTAGCTCTGATGTATGTGGCTGGCGCCTTAGTCGCTTGAGCTATAGGTGGGGAGCTTATTATATTATTGTTTTGACAGTTGTGCCATATGAATGTAATTACCTATCAAAACAGAAAATAAAAACTTTATGGAATAAGTGGAAATACACTATATACCTATCAAAACAGAAAATAAAAACTTTATGGAGTAAATGGAAAAAAATAGTTAATTTTATGTTATATGGATTTTGCCTCAATTAAAAAAAAACTTTTTTAAGAAGACAAAAAAGAAAAAGGGAAAAGTTGCAGACAACTAGTCTACCAGAAACCAGGAGTTACTGAGGCTTAGAAATAGGTGACAAGAATAGTTCTAAGTACAGAATACAACAGAACCAATACTAGACAATTTTGTGGCTGTTTAAAGATCTAAAATATAGTTATTTTTTAATTTTCTTCTCATTCTTTGGTTTAATCTTCTGGGTTTAGAAGATCACTTTTTTTTTTTTTTTTTTTTTTGAGACAGAGCCTCAAGCTGTCCCCCTGGGCAGAGTGCCGTGGCATTACAGCTCACAGCAACCTCCAACTC